CCGATGAATGCGGGTTAATGGGCCCCATTACCCCCTAAATCTTGGTCTCCCCCTTTCCCCCCTCTTTGAAATGTGCCCTTTTTTTTGCTTTTCTCTGGGTTTGAAAATAATTTTCTTCAAATTAACGTGTGAATGTAATAAAGCTCAATTTCAAAGACATGCATGCACTAATAAGCTGTTTTAAATTGACCAATTTTACACTTTTTTTTTTCCATTTTTATATACTAAAAATTTACTTTTTTATTTTTCATTTGTAATTTTTATTTATTGACTCAATTAGTCATATCTTACTTTTTTTTAACTCGTATCAAGTATATAATATTTATAAATAAGGGTTTTTTTTTATAATCAAAATTTTAATTACATTTATTAATATCATATGATACGTTATATGTATATATATGATACAATATTAACTAAATATGATATGAATTAATATATTATATATTATATTTGATTAAATATTGAAAATGTATCATTATTTTAAATTTATAATTATGTACTAGCCGTCCATGGTTAAAATGCAAAAGTGTTGGAGCATGATGCAAATCTATCCGTATAATTAGTAGACCCCACTTTTCCCTCCATTTCAAGAAGCACCCCTCTTTTCCTATTGCAAAAATTCAAAAGAAGGAAGATAATAAAATAAAAGATAAAAAAGAAGAAGAGGGAAAGTTAGTGTTGGGAGCAACTAGGCAAGAAGTGTAATTGATGGCACAACTTGTGACTAAAGCAAACCAATTTCATACCAGGCTTGGAGGGCACCAACCCTATTTATATATGTCCTGTCTCATTATTTTATCTCATAATCAGTGACCCATTTAGAAGTTTATATAAAAAATAATGTCATTGATATATATATTTTAAATTTTATATAGATTATAATAAAAAAATAAAAATTGAAAGATTAAGAAATAACGACTGTGATCACTTTCATTCCACCACTATTCATACCCCTACAATTCCACCAAATTCCTCCAATTTTCATAACCAAAATTGTTAATTCCCAAGGACAATTATGTCATAAAATTAACACTGTAAATTTGAATGGAATTACCTCCAATAGTGAAAAAAAGTAGAGCTTGGCTGTAATTAACAATGGAGACCAGAACTGCACTAATTAAGGAGATAATGATAATCTTGGATCGAACAAAATTTTCCACTTTTTTGACAATGTTCCCTCCTTTTTTTTTCTCTCTCTCACTGTCTTAAGCCTTTCCTCCTCTTTGTTTTCTCTCCATAAATAGCAGTCTACACTCTACCTTCTCATCACAAACCCTTCAAACCCCACACCTTTAGCTTCTCCCTCCGTCTCCCCCTTCTCTGTCTGTTTAGGACAGTCGAAAAGCAAAATGGCAATTGGGAGTGTTGTTGCTTGTTTGGTTTCTTTGAGTCTCATTTTGGTAGCTGTTGAAGCTAGAGTTCCTGGTGTTTACTCAGGGGCTGGATGGGAGACTGCCCATGCTACTTTCTATGGTGGCAGTGATGCGTCTGGGACAATGGGTACTTCCTCATTCTACTGCATTTAAACTTTTGAAAATGAAAAAATAAAAAAATCCGTTCTTTCACCACCTTGAACTGTCAAATTTGAAGACTTAAACTTGTTCAATCTTTTTGTCCCTATCATTGTTTTTAGACGTCAACCTCTGCCTCCCCTGCTGCTTTTCTTGGATTTCATAGCTAAAACAGACGTGTGATGGCCAGTTTTTTTCATTGTAAAGCGCCTTTTAATCAATGTTAATAAGCACTCGTGAACGTTTTCTTTCTGGAAATCCAAATGACTTCCAAGAGAATGCTTTTACGCCCGGTTCTAATTCTCAAAACCAGGAAGATTTCGACTTTTTATCTGACATTGTCTTTTCCACTTGAAAAATCTTCAGGAGGAGCTTGTGGCTATGGTAACTTATACAGCCAAGGCTATGGAGTTAACACAGCAGCTTTGAGCACTGCTCTTTTCAACAATGGCCTCAGCTGCGGCGCCTGTTTTGAGATCAAGTGCGGAAATGATCCACAATGGTGCCATTCGGGTGGCCCTTCAATTTTCGTGACTGCAACCAACTTTTGCCCTCCAAATTATGCTCTTCCTAGTGACAATGGTGGCTGGTGCAACCCTCCTCGCCCTCACTTTGATCTAGCCATGCCCATGTTCCTTAAGATAGCTGAGTACCGTGCTGGCATTGTCCCTGTCTCTTATCGCAGGTAAACAAGCAAAACTTCCCTGGTTCCCTTCATCCACCAGTTTAGCATGATTAAGCTCCTCATTTTAACTTTCCAGGGCAATTTTTGTCATTTTCACTTGATATATTCATAAAAATTCGACACATTTTTGTGTTAGATGAAGCAATTTTCCTCTGTAATTCAAGACCATCCATTGCTTTTTGGCCCTGCATTCTACTCTTCAGAATATGAAACCGGTTTGAGGTTTAACCCACACTTTTTCCCTCGTGACCCACACGATTCCCGAGGAACAAACAGAACCCAAGAAAACCCAATCTATCACTTTTTTTCAAGCTGATTGAATAATATTTTCTTCGCCAGGGTGCCATGCCGGAAACAAGGAGGAATCAGGTTCACAATCAATGGTTTCCGTTACTTCAATTTGGTCCTAATCACCAACGTGGCGGGCGCTGGTGACATCGTGAAGGCAAGCGTGAAGGGTTCGAAAACAGGGTGGATGAGCTTGAGCCGAAACTGGGGCCAGAACTGGCAATCCAACGCCGTTCTGGTCGGCCAATCGCTCTCTTTCAGGGTCACTGGCAGCGACCGCAGAACCTCTACCTCATGGAACATTGTCCCTCCCAATTGGCAGTTTGGTCAAACTTTCACAGGCAAAAATTTCAGGGTCTAATCTAATCTTAATGAAGGGTTCCATTCCTTTTTGGGGGTTCTAATATCTTTCAGTTTTATTTTCCTGGAAAATGAGGGAAAGTGTGTGGTGAAGTTGCTTGGACTTTTGAGGCTCGGGGAAGTTTCTTTCTTTTTATAGTTTTTACTGTTTTTCTATTTTTGGGTTAAAGGGTAAAGGAAAAGAAGTGAGATGTAATGGGGTTGCTGAAGTGGCTTGGAAAGAAGTTGTAGCCCGCAGCTTTGATACTCTTTTTTCTAATATATATATATATATATAATTTAATGAAAGCAGTGTTTTAACTAAGTCTTTTGTGTTGATTTCTTTGATAAATAAGGTGAAAAAGATGAACCAAAACCCAAAGAAAGAAAAGGGTATGGATACATTGGATTCTCCTATGCCATAGCCGAAAGGGGGGTCATTGGATTCCTCATGTAACATGCATTTGAATGTCACTTTTTGAACTACCTAAGCCTAAAAACCAAAACATTAGGAGCATAGACCTTGACCTTAATCACTTCGGTTCTGGTGTTTGACTTGACAACATAGGAATGAACTTAAGCTTGAGACCAGCTGTTCCTAAAACCAAGATGACCCAACAATGATTTGAGTTGATATCTATTCAAAACATTCAAAAATTTTCTCGTCTTACTCCAATCTTCTCATAGCTGATGGCATTAGCCATTGTGGTGACTCTCTTGGCTTTGAATGTAAACCATATTGCTGTCAATTTCAAGGTAAAGTCCTGTTCTTCTCGGATCCATGGACAGTAGCACCAAAAATACTGATCTGAAGTATAATTATGGTCTATTTGGCGAATTGTACAACACTTTTCTCAGGTGCAGCTTCTTTATTTTTTGGTTTAACTCTGCAGTCCACTGCCATGAGGCTTTCAGTTCATACCAATCATTCAATCAGTGCTTAGTTTTAGTCCAATTTTTTTGCTTGATCTAAACCCATTGTCAAATTTTCCACATCTAACTCATGATCTTCATTCAGGTAAGCACAGCAAGAAAAAAAACCATGAAATTTTGGAGAACATTCTTTAGGAAACCATGCTAAGTTTGGACATTATGATTTTCTTTCAAAAGTGCAATTTGAGATCCCTTTGAACCCAAATTTCAATGTGGATCAAACCTTTTTACCTGAAATATAATGAGATTACTAATGCAAAAAGTAAAGAAGAAGAAATGTGAGATGGAATCAGTAGACAAGAGGGATGAAAATGCCCTTCATCTGTGGATACCATCCCTACGGTTGTCTGGCCGCTGCCTAATTCAGCTTCTTTGGGTTTCAAAGAAAGCAAAATCAGGCTTTTTATTTCTGCACTGTTGTTAAGAAACAAAGCATCAACAAAGAATTTTGCTTTCCTTCAAGAAAACAAGAAGTGCAAATATTATCAAAGAAGAAGAAAAACCTAAGGCTAAGGGCTCATATCAAGTGTAAAGATTGGAATTTTAAGTCATTGTGGGAAAACACCAGATAGAAAATGGGAAGAAAAAGAGAAAAAGAAAGACAAAAAGGAAAATTTTTGAGGCACCAGAGCCTTGTACAGAAGGCGGCATCTTCAAGTTTTCCTTTTTTTTTTCTTTGTAAATCTTTTTATAATCCCACTCAAGCCTCTCTCTTTATAATCACAGCCCTTGCCTCCACCTGTAAACATATAAGAGAAGAATTTTGCAGAAGAAGGGTTTAACAATGCACAGTGCTCTGTGATTTACTGAGTTCTGGAAAGCTGGGAACTTGGTGTGGTTGAGGAGGCGCGATTAGGGTTTAGAATAGTAGATTCAAGATGGGTTTTCCCTTTATATATTCATAGTGGGTGTTGGGCTAGGTTTAGGGTTTAGCAGAGCCCATCTCTTGACCTCTATTCTTTTCTTGGGCTTTTTCTTTGCTTGTTTCCTTTTTAGGGTTTGCCCTCTTCGTTTTTTTCTTTGTTCTTTTTAAATTAAGGTTTAGACAAATTTTCAAGAATAAATGTCAACAATAAGGGGAGGGGAAGAGGGAGAGAGCAAAATAACAATCATATGTTTTGGCTAAAGAGATTGCAAATTATAAAAATCAACCTTTGGAAATTTCCCAAACCTTTAACAACAATTTATCACATGCACAAAGCAATGCTTAACAATCTACATTTCATTTGTTCTTTTCCAAATCTACAACATTTACCAGCTATACCTGTTTAGTGGATAAAGTTTTTCATCTACAAAAGTATTAAGTTGGCTGTGTACTTCTGCTTTAATATAAACTAAATAGATAAGCAAACAGTGAACCCATGAAGCAGTTGACAGCAGGCAACATAAGAAGCTTGGTTTTCTCAAATGGACCTGTTTGATATACATATTGCAATGACTTAGTAGTATTATGTTAAGTAATGAAAGAAGCATCAGTGAAAGTAATGGCTAGGTAGGCTTACCATGAAATAGTTGCTGGGGTTCCTAGGTAAGCTTTCTTTTACGCTTTTGAGTCTTCAGTTGCTTGATTATGTATTGAATGATTTCTTTCATACTGGCCCTCCTTCTCTCCTTTAAGTTCCATATCTCAGGGACTGCATACCTTCCACTTGCATTGTATTCATTCATTTCCATCAGTGCAGTCGTGACAGCCTCAAATGCAGCCTCACCGTATTCATTTCTCAACTCTTTCAGCTTCTCATCATCTTCATCTACTATTTCCTGCATCACATCAGCAGTTAAAGAGTACTCGAAAGGAAGTCATACATGAAATGATAAGGAGTTTGTTAAAATTTTCAGAACGTAAGAAAAAAGTCATCCCCTGCATATTTAGGTCTCAACAGGAATGAAAGTGCTTGATTCTCACACTTAGAAATTTAAACAACCTTACACGTATTTAGCCTTCTTTGACATACATATTTAGCACATTTAGGACAACAGATGCTCTGCCCCTGTTACTGTTTGGGAAGGGGGAAAGGTCTTTGATGGTTCCATCCATAATTGGATAATAAGGTTTGTTGCCAATCCTTCCAGTCCATAGCTATTACTTGGGTAGCTTCCAGAAATAAGCATCATTTCAATAAAAGTTATGCTAAATGAATCCAGCCAATGTTTTCCTCACTGATTTTTTCAAGTAATGCCAAGTGCCAAAAAGGAAAAACCACAAAATTATTTTATAGATGCAGTTGGTGTATGCGCATACCTGCAAGTTGCCTCGGAAAGGGATCCTCTTAAATGGGTGCCATTTTGGATCCTGAACATTCTGTTCCCATGATGAACATAATTTAGCAGATATTTCCTGCCAATCTTCATTAGGGAACTTTAGTGAGCAAGCAACTTCAAAAGCGTTTTGATTAATCTCTCCCATTCTTTTGACTCCAAGAGTTGTTCTGCTATTCAACATATCTTTCAAACCCTGCAAATCAAGAACCAGGATATCTTCCATTGAGCACCTTGCGTTTATACCTAATTTTGAAGTGGGGTTTGAGCATCAAAAGAAACAAAACATTGGAGGAGAGAGAAGAGAAACATGAATACATTTATTGATTCTTTACGAGCATCTTGGAGTTCTTGATTAGTTAAAATCTGTTTGACTGTCAGACAATTGTAACGGCTTTCCAGATCTAGCAATGCCTCCGATTTTTCCTCCAACTCTTTCCTCAGAGCAGCAACCTGAGCACTTGAAGTTTTATCAACTTCAACAAGATTTTGACGAGGCAAATTCTCTTTCAGCTGCATCAGATATAATCCAAATAGTTGAGTCAGCTTGGCAAATCATAATCACTAAAAATGTTGAAGCTAAATACTAGAACAAGATTCATTTATGTTAAGGTAGAAACAGTGGACTGTAGGTTTGTCTGGTATTCATCTAAAATTAAAATTAAGACAAGTATGCTAACCACTTCCATTTCATTGATCAAGGTTCTTCGTTCCAGATCACTCTGGGATTTACATTCTTCTAGTTCCTTGGTTCGCTGCCCAAGTTTACACTTCAGCTTAATATTTTCAGACTTAACCTTTTTAAGTTCTGGGGGAAACAAACGAGTGAGAAAACATGTGGAGAAAATTTAAGAAAACATTGTGAGCAGGCACTAAAGCTGGTCTGTTCCATGTGGAAATATAAAAGACATCTAGATTTATATGGTATTGGTTTAAATATTGTTTTATATTGAATCCATCTATCACAAAATATTTCAACTAATACAAATCAGTGAAAAATAATCACATTAAAATATCTCAAATCACATAGTAAGTACTGCTTATCCTACAAGCATCAGCAACAGTCTGAAAATCAGGAGTTTGTGGAACTCGAAAATCCTATTCTGAACAGTGGTTGTTGGTTAAGCAACATAAGAATAGTAGAGCATGCTTTTCATAAGGTTCCAAGCCTTGTATAGCCTAAGTGTCCCTCCTATATGTTATGATATTATCTGAGTCCAATCACCATAAATTTATCTATGCTTAAATTTATGCCACTGAGTTCCCTTTCAAGCATGCTAGAACTATTACCTCCATTGAGTTCATCCTGTAACAACAGAAACATACAAAGGCAAGCAATGATGATATTCTCTTTAAAAGCTGTAAGCCAAATTTCATTATTAAGGAACTTCAGGTAAAGAGTAGCATAACTACAATATGATTTTGTGGGCAATTTCCTAGATCAATCAAAGCTGTAGATGCAAAGTCTCTCACCTCAAAGACCACACCCTATTTTTTGTACCAAATGAATTAATGTACAATATTTTGCTCAGTATGCATATACTGTGAAGTACCTTCAACAAATTCATCTTGCAACTTAGCGTTCTCATCCATCAGCCGTCTCACAGTTGTATTGTATTTAAGCTCCCAGTCCAGCAACATACTATCCTTGGAGTTAATTTTTGCTATGAGGCCATCGACAAGTCCACGAAGAGTTGCAGTTGTCTCATCATATTTACGTTCCATTTCAGACAACTGCTGATTTTTGTAATCAATCTCATGTATGAGATTCCAAACAAGCCTACGCTCTTTCTTCAGCTCCTCTGCAAAATAGTGTCTCTCCATTTCAGTTAAATCAAAATGCCTGCAACATCAATCAAACAAATGGATTACATTAAACTTTGAAGAAATTGATTAACACAGCTATCATTGGAAATTTCAGATCATTGAGACGAATTTCCAAAAATGAATGAATGCCATAACAAGCAACGCAAAACTTTCTAATCACAAGACTACCAACTCGAAGTTTTCAAGTTCAAATTTTGAGATTTGAAATGCCTAACTCTGTTATGTAACTCAAGAACCAATGAGCCTATTGAGTCTCCGTAATCCAAATAAAACCCACAGAGAGAGTGAAAGCAAAACCCAAATGTTGGAATCATAAATTGTTACTTAATATTAGTAACTAAAAGTAAAGAAATGCATTTTCTACCATTACAAATAGCATGAAGAACCAACGTACGAAACCCAGTATTGGAATGGTAAAATGGCAAAGGCATAGAGTAACAAAGCAAACATTTTTTCCATTGCACAAGTAAAAATGTGATCCTCTGGAATGTGAAAAGCATGAAGAACAAACGTTAAAAACCCACTAAAAGAGAAGAAAACACTGCCTTCTGGAAGGTAGAATGACCAAGGCCTGAGGTATATATCAAAAAAGCTTGCATTTTTTCTCTTGCACAAGTAAAATGTGGTCCTTTGGAACTTGAAAAGCAAAGAGACTATTCCCATTTGGCTAACATGGAACTTTCAATAATATATAAATAGATAAACAATCTTACAAATTCAACAAAAATGGGTTTCACCTCTCCTCTTTATTCTTCCTTCTTCTTGGAACTGAGAAGGATTTAATCTCTTCAAAGCCGAGGTTTTGTACTTCACAAGAACAGAAGACAAAGGAGGCCACTGGTAGTACTGTTACTGCCAAGTGGCAATGTTGGAAAAGACCAAGATATCAAGGATGACACGTGGCTCTTTCCAAGACCAAGATATCCTAGGCAGCAACAATTGAACCCGAAAAGGCTGTTATCTTCCAATCATTTTGGTCATCCCTTTATCAATTCAGTTGTCTTTCATGAAAGTAGAATTAATCTTTCACTTTCATGGTTTTGTGATTTTCTTAGTTTATTGTTGTCAGTTAAGCCATTTACTAGTAAAAGACATGAAATGAGACCCCAAGTTTATCTCTGCAATCAGAAGAGAAACTCTAATGCTAATGGCAGGTTATTGCCTTATTGATGAACTTGATATTAGTTTAGAATAAGCAAATTGAAGGTTTTCAACAAGAAGTAAGCTTTACCCTTCTTACTTTGTTCAAACAGAGTCAAAATCAGAGTGCTTTGGAAATGTAAATTGGTTTCATTTCATTCTAATCCAGATGCCAATTGCCAAGCATTCCCATAAATGCCTTACGTAAAGAGAACAAGAACATCTTTCTTTTGCTGTTGGAAGTACAAAATTCATATTTCTTTGATTGAGTGTTCCATCATACAAACAAACCCTTTCCAATGGCATTAAGCAAGCATTCCTCAAAGTCATGCTGAGCGTTACAAAAATGAAATGAAATACAAAATGGGCACTTGCAAATTTTCATCTATTAAGTCTCTAAAATGTTGCTTAAAATACTTCATATGGTCTTTGACGCATTGACTTCAGCTAAGAAGATTGCAACATCCAGAGAGCTTTAGGAAGCAGACATCTCCGTAAATTTGTCTCTTCAATCGTCCAAATTTTGGTCAGTTCATTCCAAAAACTTTGTAAATCCTACCATGGCAACAGCAAAGATCAGTCTTTGCTTACAATAACTTATAATAAGACTGAAACATACAGTTATAGTTCATGCATATGGAAGTAATCAAATTGAGCTGAACCTAATTAACCTTACCCACTCTTTTTCCCAAGTATCATGTAGCTCAAGGTTACTCTTGCTCTTTTTGATGTAAGATTTTTTATCTTCGGCAAATATCTTTTCAGAGGATTCACCGTGATTATAAGAATCATTGATACAATGGATTTAGCTGCCATTTAAAGAAGCTTCAGCCCCTTCGTCTCAACCTTCACATTGATTCCAAATTACTTACTAGCAACAGAATTTGCAACCTGCAGAAGACCTTGATTAATTTGCGGGCACTTCTCTGTTTCTTCCTTGAATCTTCCTTATGTTCTATAGCAAAAAATGGCTGGAGACAAGCACCAATAACTAGCAAATATAAGCAATTAAGCAGTATTTCTAAGAATTCAGCTCAAGAGTCAAGTGTAAAGACCAAACTAACTCAAGCACAATCTCAACCAAAGAAAGGGTACCTAGTAGTAAGAGCAGTCATTTCCTATATCAGAAATCCAGTTTCTACCAAGCAAAATTAAACACCCCAAAGAGTGGGAGTTTACAGAGCAGCTGCTGCATCAGTTTGTAGAAGAACACATCGTGCATCAAGGATCAACCATGCTCTTTCATATCCAGGGAAAGCAAAAAATTTTGGCATGACCAGAGAATTGACCACCTGCAAATCACTGAAAACAGATCAACTAAGCCAGACCTATCTGAATTTAAACTACCATGAGCCTCTTTATCAGTTGTTTAGCTAAAGGAAACAGGGAAAGAGGTGGAAACAGAAGCAAAAATTCTGGAAAAAAAATTTGGACCATTTCTCGATTTGTGCGTGTCATCCTTGCGCAGGGGCCATGCTAATCTTCTCTGTATCGTTCCAATTTTATCGGATGTCCCCGAAGGGACAACCTCAGGCTGATGCTTTCTGGTATATAAAATTTGTTACTCTTCCGTTCCTGACTAATGTGGGAGGTTTGGTTGGATTCTGACTAAACTGACTAAGGCCTTAGAAGTGGGCTGGTTGAGTGATAGGCGTGGCACAATTACCATAGGCTTTGTGGTTGTAGGACCCTTGTAGTTCACGTAAAACCCACGTGTGGGCTTTTGACGTGTCTCAACCTGATGAATGGGTCTGAGTCCTAGACATCAAAGCCCAGCTGATCACTTTTCCTCAAGTAAGGAAAAAGTTTTCGAGGGGCAATAAGCTTTAAGTTTTGGTCAAGTTTTGGAACAGTTGGCAACAATTGTCATAGAGCCTGAATGTTAAAGAAAAATGACATAACTTGATGATCCCAAGTTTCCAGCTAGATAATTGCAGCTTGTGATTTTTGGGTTGATTCAGAAGCATCAGTAAGGGCCAAGCATATAATGGCTCTGTTACTTTCTATATTTTGTGTCTTCAATTCTTGGATGGTGCACTCAACTGCCTCTTTCAGGCTCTCTTTCAAGTTCTAAAGTTGGAGAAGTATGTATTTCACACTTCCGTTGTACTCATTCAATCCCAACAATGCATTAGATACAGCTTTGCAAACCTCATCACAGTTAGATTATTTCTTACAGCATCCAAAACAAGAGCATGAGAGTAAAATTCTGCACATTTTTTAAGTATATTCATGTTATCACATCAAGTTCACTTAGTTCACCCATTCCATGCTATATATGGTTCATACCAATGTTTCTTCAATTCAAAGCTCCCTAAGCAGGTTTACCTACTCGATCCTAACCAGTTCCAATCATACTGCTAATGTATAATTTGTAACAGGACTTGTGTTCATATGGTTGAAGATGAATGATTGGGCATGCGATGGGCTGCCTTCTGATATAGTTGTAGGTCATGGAAGTCAAGCATTCTTCATGAGTATTTGTGGGAAATTTGGTTGGTTTCTAACTGAAACCTTTTTGAAAGTTTTGTCTTCATAATCTTTTCCATAATAACAATTGAAAAAAAGGGTTCTGAATCTTTGTAACTGGTACTGGCAGAACATGCAAAGAACAGAACCGAATAAAGCCCTCATGGTTCTATGTAAGAAGGTCTGGTGGGAGTTTGTGTGCATCAAAGTAAAGCCGTCATTAGGTGAGTAGATGGGGCTGCAATCTGCAATGAGTAGGTTTCAAAGGAGCAGGTGCTTCAACATTTTGATGGCACCAGAGACAGAATTCATCACAAGAACCAGTTAAACTCCATGTGTTTCTTGTCATAATGGAGTCTTTGCTTTCAACATATACAACTTGAATTTTTCGATCGAAACATGGTAAGTCTATGACCTGGGCGTGTTCGTTTCATGGGAAATCACTGCTGATACAACAGTGCTGATTTCAACTTCATCATCACATACTATTGATAGAACAGAACCCGTAAAGTCCCACATTGCCAAGTTTGGAGCATATTGAGCGATATAAAACAAACTACTTCCCACTCAATGTTCGACCCCCGGAGGTATGTTTTTGCTTCGGCGCAACGTTTAAGCACAATTCCACCGGGGGCACTGGGCTTCGTGTTGATCCGGCTTAGCACTTCTGTCTCACAATCCGGCCTACATTGACAGGATTGGGCCGGTGGTGGCTCATCACTTCCTTGCCTAGAATGAGCCCTTGAGTGACCAGCATTAGCCACGGCCGGGGTGGTGGCTGGCCAAAATTGTTTTTTCACAAAAATTCCCATAAACATTGATGAATGGGAAATTTTTAGGGCTTCTCTTTGGATCTTGTTATGGGCCTTAAACAAACATTGTTGGGCTCAGCAGAGGCCTCAAAGTTTGGTTTTTCCAAAGATGATTCTTTGCCTGTAATAACTTAAAATAAGATAGAAAGATATAGTTATGCATATGGCAGTCCAGTAATCAAATTACCCACTCTTTTCCAGGTATCATGTACATCAAGGTCACTCTTGCTCTTTTTCACATCATTTTAAAATTTTTAATAACATGGATAAGTATCTCTCTTTATAATTATTGACAAGGCAAATACAATTATTAAATTTCACATAATTTCATATTTTTTTAAAAAAAATTGATTATAAAATCTCATCTAGTCTTTTATCTTAGAAAAAGGCAAAGAAAAATTTTGATTAGAAAATCTTGTCTAAACATGAGCTCAATAAAAGCAAAGGAAATTCAGTTAAAATGAGCATAAAAGAAAAAAAGAAAATTAAAAAATAAGTAAAAAATATGTCAGATCAGGTTGGTTCAACCCGGTCTAACACCTTATCAAGGTTTGGGAGTGCCGCGTGTCACATCTGAGTGACGTGGGATATTACGCCCCTACAACTGTTTTGTTCCCATGATTGGGAATGCCCTTTAAGCTAAGATTGGGTTGGCTCAGTGTTAGATAGAATATTCCCATGCATGCCCAAATGGGACGATGCTAATCATGATGAAATGAAGTGGAGATCCTTGAGATATTCATCCCAGAATGAGCACACTTCCCAGGCTCCTACAGCAGCTCATCATTGCTTGTACGTCTTCAAGCTCCCAACTCTTTACGAGTTGCCTCCATCTTCCTCAAAACTTGTGTATCATCTTCATCTCCCATGCATGTATCAGGCAGGGGAAATGCCGCTGGTTAGGATCCTTCAAGGTGTTGTGGATGTGAGAGGAGAGCCAAGAGTTGTTTATATAATCAGTAGGATGCAATTATTGACAAGGCAAATACAAAAATATATACATTACATGTGAGTGTTGTTTTCGTTGGAAATCAGTGTTGATAAAACAATGCTGACTTTTACGTATACAAGTTGAATCTTTCGATCGAAACATGGTAAGTGCATGACATGGGAGTGTTCGTTTCATCGGAAATCATTGTTGATACAACAGTGTTGATTTCGACTTCATCATCATGTCAGTTTTGTTTAACATTAATTAATGCAAACCAAACTTGAGACAAAAACCAATCATTCTAATCTAAATTTTCAAACTACTTTTTTTTCAATTGAATCAAATCTCAAGAAATGTATAAAAAGGAATTATAAAAAATGTAATGAGAATGGAACCAGTATCGCCAAACTTCACCAATTCCTTCTCTGCGAAACCCGTTTTTTCTACCGCATGTACGCCCACATCGCCAAGTCTCGAGCCAAGCAGCCGATATAAAATAAACTATTTTTCTCTCGAGGCTCGCCGCCGGAGACTTATGGCTTAGACGGCGTCTAAGCGCAGCCCCACCGGGTGCACTGGGCTTAGTGTTGGTCCGGTTTAACATTTCAGTCGCATGGTACGGCCTACATAAATAGGCATGTGTCACGCGCTTTCGAACTTTTCGTTTTCTAACAACACTTTCGTTACCGTCAGTCAAGATCTCTACGTTCCTGTTCGATATGGATAGAGATATTTTTTTTTTGACACTTTCTCTCACTCGATATTACCTTTGTTGTCATCGGTCGCAACGTCCTGATTGCCATCAGTCACTCTATCTACTTTGAGTTCTCTAGACCCGGATGTTTAACATGAATCAAACAAAATTCGATCCGCTCTGATACCACTTGTCACAAAATTATTATCCTCTTTCTCGTAAATACACTCTGCACACTCTTATAAAAAACTTAAGACTTTCCGTTATGATGCGCTCCGATATGAGATAGAAGTGCTTTCCTTACTACACTTGAGCTATGTGCCCGGTAATTTAACACGAGAGCCAGAAGTCGCCGTGGGTCTGAAGTGTGGCTCATCAATTCCTTCCACAAAATGAGCCCTTGAGTGACCAGCATTAGCCACGGCCGGGGTGGTGGCCGGCCAAATTTTTTTTTTTTAAAAAAAAAATCATATTCTTGCATTATCTCATATCGAAAAACAAGAGAGAAATTTGAAGAAGCTGACGGACCGCAGTGTCCCGCATTCGAAAAACGAGAAACTTCCCCAGAAGCCGATAGCTTCCAAAGTGGGAAAAGTGCAGAAAAGGTAAGAAAAAAGCTATAGCGTCAAAGCTCATAGACAAAATAAAACCCACTATTATCAAAGACTTGTTGTAAAATATTTTCATGTACGTCCTTAAAGAGTGAAAACCCAGAGTTTCAGTTTCACAAATTGAAAAGCCAAAACCAAAAAACGCTGATGTCGGTGGGATACTGACCGTTCACATAAGTAAAAATATCAAAGCATGTGACTTTGAATCCCAGAAAGAAAACAAAACAAAAGGAAAAATTTTCAATCAAGGAACAAAACCAAAGAAGAACAGGCGCAGCAGCTTTGTTTGTTTGAGCAGATTGTCCAAGAAAGATGCTTGGAAAACTTTTAGAGTTTCCCTTGTGATCACTTCGTGGGCTTTAAACTAACTTGGTTTTGCATTAGCAGGAAATGGGAGCCCAAAATACAAAGACTTTCTTGGGCTCAGTAGAGGCCTCAAAACCAAGCAACTTGGTCCAAGGGGTTGAGCAATGCATTTGCATGCTGTTGATTGCTGAAGGTGGAGGACTGAAGAGTGCAAGCGACATAAGGAGTGGAGATGACTAGTAAATGTATCTTTGCTATAGGCCTTGGTTGATTTTTTCCTTTTAGGTGATTTAGATGGGAGAATTTTGTCATTGCAAGGTGATGAAGTTTGTCATGTAAATTGTAACAGGGGATCCGTGCTTTGATCCCATATGCAACCTGTTAAATACAGGGCAGCTTGTTTTCACGCCTCTCAGATGTATTTTTCTCCTTCCAATGAAAGGTACAGCTCATTTAATGAAAATTCAACTTAAATAAATAAAATCTCGGGTATCATATCACAGAATGTTAAAAAGAAAATGTCAGAAACTGGCAAATCTGGCATTGAATTTGAAACTGAAGACATTCCTTTAACTTCCCAATCAAATTAGGGCCCAAGAATTCAACTCAAATAAATAAAATCTCTCACAGAATGTAAAATAAAAAAAAGTCAAAAACTGGCAAATCTGGCATTGAATTTGCCACTGAAGACAATGTTTGGGAAAAGCTAAATGCCATAAAGATCATGTTCTTAGTTTGATCTTGGGGTTGCCCACTCGACTCGCAGGATGAGATTGTCATAACCATATCCATTGAGCTTGTTAATAGCTCTTTGAGCATCCTCCCTGTTTACGAAGTTGACAAAACCAAATCCTCTACTCGTGCCTGTCTTCTGATCCATAGCAACATAGACACGAGTCACGGAACCAAATGTGCGGAAAAGCTCCAGCAAGTCAGGCTCCCTGGTATCCTCAGATAAATTCGTTACCCTAACAGAGTTTTCATCATTCCTACGCCTCATATCAGATCCACCAGTCCTCTCTGCACCTGCTCTCATGCTTGGTGGGACATAGGCTCCCTTTCCAGCTCCAGAAGCAGCCATAGAGGTCTCAGATGCAGCAGGTTTATCAACAAAGGTTTCAACAGGGGCAGCAAGATCCTTGTAAGGACATTTGGAAGTCCAGTGATCACCTTTCTTACCACATGTCCTGCACACCATGAGAACAGCACCTCCTTTGCTAAGCTGAGCCAAGCTGTCACCAGCTACCTTTATTTCTTCTGGTTTGGTACCTGTAAACAGTTCCACATTTCAAAAGTTTTTGACATCAAAAATCCAAACAAGTGACAAAAACCTAAAACTGAAAAAATGAAAGTTTACAACATAATTTACAACTACTTAAAATATGAACCTATTTCAGCCAAGATAACTGTCTGCATATGTCAGAGATACACACATGCAATCATAGATACAAGCAAACTTGCAGATCAGCATGCCATAGAAGGCACATGACACAGCAAAACCTTCATGGTGTATGCTGAAAACACCTGTTTCTTGAATATTGTTAATGGCCTCAGAATGAAACCAAATTCTAGTTTTCACAATTTAACAATTGAATACCATCAATGCAGAGTTGCTATCAGTGGCCTCATGACCATTCCACATGAAACAACGGCCATTTGGCTAATACATGATTGGCAAAACCTAGCCACCATGTTCAAATGAAACATAAAAACACAAACAAAATATGCAAGGATTACAATAGAAAACCAACAGATTAAACAAAACTATGGTGAAATAGGGAGAGTGGGGAAGTACCAACTCAAAGTTTGCACTCGATGAATGTAGTTAATGGCCCAGAAGTGAAAAAGGAGCTATATTTCACAACGAAAAAAGGCCACCAACAAAGGGTTACTATCGGTGGCTTACTGACCATTCACACAAATCAATAGCCGCAAGGCCAATATGTGATTGGCTAATTGACCACCATGACCAAATGGATCAAATCAAGCCCCATATATTAATCGCTTTGAACATTCTCCAAAACTATATATATGGAAAAAAATATAATCAATTTAGTTCCTAGTTCTTCAAGAACATAATTTGCTCAATACCAATTCTAACATAATTGTTCCATAGAAAGATAAAATCACTAATTCCTTTACCCAATAAAATTACCATTCCAATTTTTTGCTTGTCGCTTCTAAAACAAAACAAACAGAAAGCAAACTTAAACATGAAAAAATCAATCATCCTAATCTAAAATTTCAAACTAATTTTATTCAATTTTCATCAAATCTCAAAAGATAAAAAAGGGTAATGAGAATCGAACCTGGGGCTCTAGGTCGTTCAAGAAGGATCTCTTCGGTGGAAACCATAGTAAGTCTACTCCCAACATCTTCACGCACCGCATCGCCAAACTTCTCCCAATTCCTTCTCTCCAAAGCCCGTTTGTTCAACCGGGCCTTGGCCAGCTTGCGAACTCGGGTCGTCGTCGTTATTTTTACCTTATTGCCTTCCTCGTTGAACTTGTACTCAATCACTTTTTTGATCCCGTTTTCGTCCGGTCCGATTACTTCCTTGGGCGGTAATAAGAAGTCCAGATCGTCGTCTTCCTCTAACTCTCCCCATCGGAGCTTGCTCGGTTTAGATTGGTTCGGGTTCGGATCGGTTTTGTCGATAGCCATTGTGGGTAAGGATGGAGAGAACTCGACACGGCGTAGGTGGCTGTCGAGGTTTTGTTTTACGGTGAGAGAAGCAAGGAAGTTGAAAGAGGGTTTTGCTGTTGTCCGGTCTTGCCTTGCCTTGGCTTGCCTTTTATAGTTAAATGCCGAGGTAAAAACGACACCGTTTATGTCGTCTGAAAACTGAAACCGAATCCCACATTAAGTCCATAAATATTCAAATTACAATTTTAAAAAATTAGAGTATTTTTTATTAAAAAAAGAATATAACTAAATTTTTAATATTTTTCTTTTTAAATGAGGAAGAAGAGGAAGCTGGATTCCTTGTTAATGTGATCCAAGGCTCGCTTGAGGCCCAATAAGAGAACTATACGGGCCTCTCAAGTCTCAACTTAGCTTCCTTCAAAGCTTTTACAAGATCTCTTGGGCCCCAACATGAGAGCTTTACGGGCCTCTCAATCTCTCTTGTAGTCCATGGGCCGAAACTTAGAACGAACTACTCGTGTTGATCAATCGTTCATTTTATGATATAAATTAATTGTGTTTATCAATATTTATAAAAAAAAGTTATATATTTGATATTAATTTTTAATTTAATCAAAATAGTGTAGTAAATAATTTTTAAAAATAATAATTTAATAAATTTTAAATATACCTATTAATTGAACTTCAAACTCTAATTATATGAATCAATCGTTAAAAAAATCAATAATCATCGTTGATAAATTAGATACAATAATCAATAATGAGTAGCCAACCTTTAGATATATAGTTAATAGTAATTAATAATAATTATTGTTGATTAGATTATTATTATTTTAGAATTATTTTATATTTCACTTAAAATATATACATAGATATATATATATATATATATTTTTAAAGGCATTCCTTTGTGACGTCGATATTGCACAAGTCTTAACTCACCAACAAAGTGATAAGGAGGCCCGAGACAAGGCATGAGCGTCATAATATATACATAGATACTGAAAAATAATGATACTAAGATGTTTCTCAGACCAATATTTTTGTTTGAAACTAGATGTTGGTGGTTGCTTTGTTGCATCCTACTTAATTAGTTTAAAAAAACATTTCCATTATTATACCTTTTTATTTAAGTCAAACATAGAAAATTAGGTGGTCCATAGTTGTTAAAGATACCTTGAAAGTAGGTAATGATGGAAAAATTAAGCCTAAAAGGCTTACTCTTCAACAATACTTATTGGAATGCAATAGGATTTGGGCATTTTGTTTAATATCAGTCCAAATTGGGTTTATTCCAATTTGTGTTTCCCCAACTGATTTATTTAGCTTACCTTCATATGGTAGCTACAAGCATAAAGCTAAAACCCCATTTTGCTAGTCAAAACAGCACAAAGTCATTCTCAATTTGAAGCAGTAGTCTTAGCTAAGTGCTTGCATGCCAAAATCATTTGCCATAATTTGGAAATTGAAAGGGATGGCCATTTATTCAACTTTTTTTTCTCTATAATGGGTTTTACAACATGCTTCATAATTTTAATATTTTAAAGATATAGTTACGATACATATTCGTTGATTTTAAGATACCCATACTAGAACTTGATTATAGAATTTAATATTCACAATTTATCTGAACTTGATTAATAATGTCTTATTAAAATCTGAACTCATTTATTTAATTAAAAATGACGTGAATACTCGTTATAAATTTCAAACTTAATCCAAATTTGATATAAAATATAAAATTTGATCATTTTTGTGTATTTTATTAGTAAAAATTAAATCAATAAATTCAAGATGAATTTTATATAAAAATATTTTATAAATTAAAATAAATAATTTGATAATAATGAATTATAAATATTTAAAAATTTATTATTTATAATCAATGCAGGACAACGGATAACAAATATGTTAATCCTACTTAAACTAAACGAAATGATCCCTAACATTTAATGGTAAAAAAATATAAAATAGGAAGAGGAAATAACCTCTCGAAAAAGGGCTTACAATGTAAATGATTCATTGGATCTAAACCGTTGCTGCTGCGATAAGCAAAGGCTTGTTCTGGAACAAGCCGAAAGCATATGGCAGCAAACCGTCCATGATACTTAAAAATACACACGTGGGAAAATGCTTTAGTAAATAAAGCTATCATTGCGAAGTGAATCGGTTCGAGCTGTCTTTGGTCTAAACATGTCGGTGGCAGTACACAATCTAACACACATGGAATCGTCTCTTTTCTTTTATTATCTACCTTTTTTTCTTTTTTAGATATTACTACAAAATTTACTTGAATTAGTAAGTATATGTAGTAAATATATTTCAACTCTTTTTTTAACAAAATATTTCTTTTGAAGATTGGCACATATATTTTGATTGATTAAATATTAATTATACAACTAATAATATTTGGGGCTACAATATTATATACATATATACTAATTTAGTACTTTAATTTCCTAATATTTTTGGTTTTTTTTTCAATTTTAGCAGAAAAAATGTGCGTATGTTCACTATCTTAATAATTTCAATTCAAAATTTAATTATTTATTGAGTGAAATGAAATACTTTGTCTTTTTTTTTTATTTTTTATTTTTATTCATCTCTCATGTTTTAAATGTCCCAAATCAAGTATTTTTTTCGTTTTTAAGCATCTAATACTCTTATTTTTTATTCATATTATAGATTTGTTTTTCATGATTTTTATTTTTACATAGTAAAAAGTATTGAACATTTGTATTCTTATAAAATTATTAATTTTAATATAGAATACGTCAAAATTATAAATATTAAAAAAATTTAAAAATGGAAAGAATATTTACCAAAAAAAAAATTAATGAGTCAAATGGATCACAACATTAAAATGTTTGGTCTTTTTCCATTCAATCCCAATTAGCTTGACCTGGTCATGTTTCTGATCCTGAAAGCATCAACCCCATCAGCCAATTTGCTCATGGAAGAGACCTACAAGTAAGCTTTAGTTTCTTTAGCTTTAAATAAAGCTCTAACATAACTTGGAAATGCTTGGCCGCCCAATTCCTTTAGCCAATAACCATTCCTTTTCTAACTTGCTAAATTTGTCAAAGGCAAATACCCAAATCCAAAGGCGCTTAACGGTTTTCATTTTTTCAAAAATTTTAAAATTATATATATATTTTAAAAAATTTATAATTTTATTTTTGCAAATATTATATTTTCATATAATTGATTTATAAATATTTATTTTGTCAACAAGTATAAAATTCTGACTCCGCCCAAACCATGTCAACGCCAGGCAATTAGGTATATTTTCATATGTGCATGTGCCCTTTTCCTAGAATCGAAACTTCTACTAAGAATTTTCAGACAACTTTTAGGATTAAAAATATATAATTAGTGCTTTAATTTAAATTAATGCCCACGGATTTGGTGTGCTGAGTCGCGTGGGGTGGGCTCTGTTGCTTGCGGGTGCTAAGCCGTGATTCTCGGTTTCCGCTAAAGAGTCAGATTGTGTATGCGGAATCAACTTGACATGGATCTAGGCTTCAAACCTTCTAATTTTTTTTATTTTAATTAATTAACCAATTAATGATTTCCTTTGTTATATTTTATTCATTGTTATATTATGAAAGTTAATCTAACTTAATTTGATCTTGATAAAAAAATCATACTATAATTCATAATATGATAAATAAAATAAGCTAAAATTTAATATAAAAAAATTATCCTATATAACATAATGAGATCAAAAGATTGCAACATATGTCATTCACCCAAAAAATAAAGTTATTATATATTTTAATAATAAGAACATGTGATAATATTTTTACTCCTATTTATAAAATTTAAAATTTTAATATATAAAATAATAATGAAAAGGGGACAAAAGAAGTATCAATATTTTTTTATTTTATTATTTGAATAATTCTCGTTAGGTTAGCTCGTAACAATGCGGTAATAAATTAATTGACTTGAAGACCCTTTTTTGACAAATTCCAGAATGGGAGGCTTGAGAATTGAACTATTCCTTTTATATTTATTTAATTTATTAATTGATTTATTTATGTAGTATTAAAAAGCAACAAAGTTAATTACAAATGTAGATATGAATCTACATGTTGTAGTACCGTTACTGTCGGCAATCCTTAATTTAATCTATACCAACTTGACATTTAATAGACATTTCCTAGTAATGGAACACTAATCAAGTGTTCATAAAAGGGGAAAAAATGGAAAAAGAAAGAAGATAACATTAATAAAATTATAGAAAATAGCACCTTTTTTGAATTTATAAAATATAAAAAATTAAATTCACAATTTACAACCTTAGGTTTCGACAATAACACTCAAATTTCATTAATTTGATATAATATTTATTATTATTATCATTTGAATATTGCAAATCTCATGTGTCTAATTTTTTTAATTTTCTTTTTTCTTCAAAATATAAAGCTTAAATTTAATATTTTGATTAAAAATAAATATCAATTACTGAATCATATGTTCGGATATATTTTTAATATAATTCAAGTCAAAGCTTAATTGTACTAAAACATTATTATCATTTATACATTGTTAGGTACGCTATTTAGTTTACTATAAATGATACCACTTGCTTTTATGTCATAAATTAAATTAATCAAAAATAATTATTTTATTTTAAATTAAAATTACAAAAAATGTAAAAAATTGATAGTAAGTACTCAATTGCGGTAGTAAGAAGGTTAAACAAAAGAATTTATAAACGCTCGTAAATGTATACGGATATTATTTTTTAAATTATGAATATTTATTTTTATATATTTTTAAAATTTATACAATATTTAATTTACTACAACATATGAAATTTATATGATAAATAATGTATCAAATATAAATTCTAAATAAAAATTTAATTTTCAATTTACTAAGATCCATCGACTGTGAGAGTTAACATACTCAAAGTCAATCAGACACTTTCCTTTTTTCCTTACCATCGTTTTCTCTGCAACACTTTCGTCAACAACATTCCGGACCGTACTTTTTTATCCACAACCCGGAAGCAGTTACCCGTCCAAAGACCCGAAATCACCTCGAAACATCCCCTACAATTTCCGTTCCGTCGCTAAAAGAAAAGAAGTTCCAAAATTGAATTTAATATTTAATTTCGAATCCGCCAAATATTTCACGTTAGTTATATCTCATCTCTTTCTCGCTTGTATAAATACCGCTCTACTTTCTCTTAAAACAGCGCCCTCTTTTTTTCCTCAGTTGCCAGCTCAGCTCCCGACGGAAAAAAAAAACGGTTACTAAATAACAAAAAAAAAAGAAAGCCAGCCAAACTCGTCCGAGTCGACTCGTTTCCCCGCCCATTTTATATTTGCGCCTCGAATCGGGCTCGAGTTTTCAATTTGAACTCAGTTCGGGTTTGGATCTGGTAAGGCTTAAAGGTAATCGCTGAATTATGGTCCTTCCAAGCTCTGTACGCTGTCTTTCTCGCTGTTCGTAATAGTTTAGCTTGAATATGTCTCAATGGAGTTCAAAATGTCATTCGGCGTTCGCTTTCTATTATTTTTCAATTGTTTTTACGTTTTTTTGGGAGAATTTTGAGGTTTAATTTGATTTGTAATGTTATTATTATTGTTAGATCTGATTTTTTACATGGTAAATCACGCGTAAAATCTTTCTAAGAAGAAGAAAAATGAATCTAAGTTAATTCAATTGATTTCATTTCTCGTTTAGCCACAAATCTAAGTTAAATTTATTATGTTTAATCAGGATTTTAATGGTGGTTTAGAATTCTACTAAAGTTTTCGTTATTAATGGCTTAAGGCCGTTTTCTTTTTGCAATGTTTGTTGTCAAATACTTTGTAAAGGTCAAGAATTCCCGCGTCGCCAGATCAAGACTGACTCAGTTGAATATGTTTTTCTTGCTAAGTTTTCATTTCGCTTACTTGGAATTTTTCAATTCAAATGCTTCTAGTTAGAAACTTGTGTTAATCCTTTTAGGCGTGATTTTCGTGGCGATTCCCTGTTTTCCATGACTCTATTGGAGGGTGGAAGCGAGAAAGGAAATTCTCTTGACACTTAAATCAGTTAAAAACTACTATTTTCCCTTGCAAAGAAAAAGAAAAGAGGAAAGATGAAGTATCTTAAGCCATCTGTCATTACTTGAAGCAGGGGTTACACAGCAGCTGGATTTTGTTTTCGGTTCCATGTGAATCGATTTGTCGTTCTTATTAAAGAAAACAACCTGTGGAATTGCTGGAATTTGTGTTTCAATATCATCTAAACCATTTTTGGATGGATTTTCAGTAGTGCTTTTTGACGTTTTAGCTTTTTTTTTTTGGCGCAAGACGCGTGTTTGAATGTTTTGTTCTTTTCTCTTGTGCTTGGCTTTAGATTTGTCTGGTTTTCTTCTCTTTGCATGTGGTGAATTCGTGTCACTCTTGAATTCATACTCATTGGTTCTGATTCGCTCATCACTGTTAGATCTACAAATGTCAATATAGATTTCTGTGTTGGTCAATCTCTCTTTTCTTGTCATGCATAGGTAGAAGAGTCTGTGTGGATTCATTTGGGATTGCATATCTTAGGTTGCTTTCCTATTTTAGTCTGATGTTTGGTTGCTGCTTAAGATACTGACTGTACTATCTACAGGTAAAGCAGAAGGTGTATCACAATGAAGGCACTTATTCTTGTTGGAGGATTTGGAACACGATTGAGGCCGTTGACCCTTAGTGTTCCTAAGCCGCTTGTTGAATTTGCTAACAAACCCATGATCCTGCATCAGGTATATTTTTGCAGAATGGCCTTTATTATACATCTGATATTTGGAAATTTTCTTTTTTGGTTTAGTGGTTTCTCTTTGTTGTTTTCTCAGGATAAGCTTGTTGATTTTGTGGACTGATTTATCTTTCAATATTTTACAGATTGAGGCTCTTAAGGCTGTTGGTGTAACTGAAGTTGTTTTGGCTATTAACTACCAACCTGAGGTATGTGAGGTGTTTCCTTGTGTAGGAGATGTAAAATTGATACAATGGTCTGAAAGGTTAGGTGGTTAAGTGCTTATGGGCTGACCAGTGGCCACTTGATTTTGCAGGTAATGTTGAACTTCTTGAAGGAATTTGAAGCTAAAGTTGAGATCAAGATCTCATGCTCTCAAGAGACTGAGCCACTCGGCACTGCTGGTCCTCTTGCTTTGGCTAGGGACAAACTCATTGATGGTTCTGGTGAGCCATTTTTTGTGCTTAACAGTGATGTTATCAGCGAGTACCCATTCAAAGAAATGATTGAATTCCACAAAGGCCATGGAGGAGAAGCTTCCATAATGGTAACCAAGGTAATAATTCAGTTCTAAAATTTTCTTTATTTTCAATTTCAGTGTATTTCCTTTGAAGGCATTTTAATACTTGTGTAGGTGGATGAGCCGTCAAAATACGGTGTGGTTGTTATGGAAGAATCAACAGGGCAAGTCGACAAATTTGTGGAAAAACCCAAATTGTTTGTTGGGAACAAAATTAATGCTGGAATTTATCTGCTGAACCCATCTGTTCTTGATAGAATTGAACTGAGACCCACTTCAATCGAGAAGGAGGTCTTCCCAAAGATTGCAGCAGAGAAGAAGCTGTATGCAATGGTCCTACCAGGGTTTTGGATGGACATTGGTCAGCCAAGGGATTACATTACTGGCCTGAGACTTTATCTAGACTCCCTGCGAAAGAAAGCTTCAACTAAGTTGGCCACTGGTCCACACATTGTGGGAAATGTTTTGGTTCATGAGAGTGCTAAGATCGGAGAAGGATGTTTGATTGGACCCGATGTGGCAATCGGTCCAGGATGCGTGGTCGAGTCTGGAGTCAGACTCTCCCGCTGCACAGTCATGCGTGGAGTTCGCATCAAGAAGCACGCCTGCATATCCAGCAGCATCATCGGATGGCACTCCACCGTTGGGCAATGGGCTCGTGTAGAGAACATGACCATCCTCGGAGAAGATGTCCACGTATGCGATGAAATTTACAGCAACGGCGGGGTGGTTCTGCCTCACAAAGAGATCAAGTCTAGCATTTTGAAGCCAGAGATAGTCATGTGACAAGTTCTGTTCCCTGATGAGTTAGAATATCTTGTAGGGAGTATTCACTTAAATTGTCATGCGTTTGTTCTTTTGTTATATTTTTTTTACTTTCCTTCTTTGTCTACCCCTCCCCCTCCAACACAGTTGTAAAAAACTCAGTTTCTCCAAGTCTGAGTGATGCGTTTTCGACGGTTCAAGGGTCATTTTCTGTAGCCAACTGCATTGAGATGATCATTGGTGTGAAATGTGTAACTTTAGTGTGTATATAAAAATAAATTATCACTTGGTTTATGAACAATTAATTTTTTCAATTGTATATTTTATTTGAGCATTTTCAAAGAATAATCGGTGAGTTATTATTATTATTATTATTAGTATTTATGCATTTAGTATTCTAGTATGCTGTTCTTTTATATCTCGATATTTGTATGACCGCAATCTGTCGGTAGCATTGGATCTGAATCTTTTCTCCAATTCTGGTGGGCCAAAATTGACAAAAAACAAAAATAATACACCATTTATGACATGTAAATGCACCATTCCATTAACTCTTGCTAGATTGATGGGCAATTGATGAAGTAAATATATCACTCTGCAAGCAGATTTAGAGGCATCAAACTCTTTAATTAGAGCTTAAAAAAGGTCACACAATTCTCATTTTTCGATATAATTTCAATCATACGTGTAATACAAGTAACTATAGTTGTGTTTGAGGTTGAAAACGAAAGAAACGAGATGTATTTGCATTTGAGGTTGAAATAACTTGTCGGGATATACTTGCATTACATTTAAAACTAGAATAACTTTTTTGTTTTTTGAATTTTTTGAACTTTTATGAAATAAAAAATAAAATATATTTTTAAAATGGATTGTAACAATATATTTGTTTTTTGAATTTTAAAAAATACAAAAAGAAAGAGAAGATAATAACAATATTAATTGGTAGGTGGGTAGGGCAAAAGTGGACAAGTACTTGTAAAGGTTCACATAAGAACACAATAAAGAAAGTTCAAGTTCCTTGTGGTCACACAGCTTGAAAGCCAAACACAAGGACAGGAACTATTGTGGATTTTTTTTTTTCTAAATTTGATTCTGCGGTTGCTCTTTCATGGAGCAAACTCCTGCTAAACGCACACTCATATTTCTCTTTCCAGTGTCCTGTCAAAGCAAGTGGGAGCTTGGGGGGACTGGGTTTTTGGCTAATCAAGTTAGGCTTGTGGCAGTTCTAATAGTTATTCTTTATGAGTACCCATCCCTTTCTTTCTTTCATTATTTTCTTACCTAATTTTGATTCTGTCAAACTATGTTAGCCAGAATCCATAGAAGGCAACCAAAGAAGATGTACATTTCCCTTCTGCTTCATGATGCCAAATTGCCAATAGGATAAAGGCCAATTGCAAAAGGCAAGACGTGTAGTGGAAATTGGCCTCGTTTATTATATGAGGGGTTAAGCATTTTAGCTATCAAAATCTTCCAAGATCTGATAAATTGAACCCTATTTAATTGTCATTTATTGGTCAGATCCTTCAATGAAAATAACATTCCAAGTGTCACAAGAAGACCCAATTCGTTTCTTTCTGTAGATTTTGGAAGCAAGTGGAGGAAACTATACAGACTCAGAGAAAACGTATGAGGGGGAAAAGGTTGATGGAAGAATATGTGGCCTACCATGTGGAGAAGTGACATGCTTGTGGGTCACAAAAATATATTTTTTTGTAATTTTTTGTTAATATTGAACATTAATAATTTAAAATTTTACAGTTGGTAGACCTACTACGTCGATTGTAAAAAAAAAGAAAATTGGTGTATGTTATATTGATGATTAAGATTGAACAATCACCATTAATGGTTTTGCTTGTCAGCTTATGTAAGGAATGAACAGGAATCAAACAAGTTTCCCTCTTTCCCAGCTCTCTTGCTCACTTAAAATGGAGGATAAAGAGCTTGAAGAGCATATTCGCATGTCATTATCACTATCTTGTTATGGGGCTACCCCAAGGGGACATGAATTATCAGTGACATTGACTTGTTGAGCTGTTGTTTTCTCAAGAACAAACAAATAAAAACTTAGTGAAAATTTTTTGTTGTTTATGGAAGAGGGTCCAATGTCATTTGACAGCATAGCTGTAACTTCTCTTAGCTGAGTTGTATCCATCATGGTGGAGTTGGGAACATAGTTTTTCATCCTCTTTTCTCACTCTTTCTTATAGCTAAATAGATTAACCAACTTTGTCTATATCAGAACTCTTGGCCCTGCTACACTTAAAATTACCCAACACCAAGATCCAGTTTTTCTTGTTTATGCAAATTCCTAACCAGACAAGTTTGTTCTAGAGTAGGCAGGAACAGGACAATTCACCTAGAGAAACTCAAAATTATAATGCTCCAAACAGTGGTGTTTGTGGCTGCACTGCAGCAGAGCATTACTTGATTAGAGTGTGCATAACATTTTCCATATTTCGATACTTGTGCCTTGTGACAGTCTCTCATTGAATATGCACATGTTTCTGGACAGTCAAATGCATGTGTAGCAGTTTAGCACCCCACAGATCATAATGACAGATAGTCAAATCCACATAGTTAAGACTTAATGCCTGTTCTAATCCAGCAAGTATATATCACCATCCTGATGAGTGGAGGTTGGTCTCATTTATATATATCTGGTGGGATGGGAATTTCTACCATTGGAAATCAGGACACCAGGGACATTGCTGTTCTGGGTTCCATGTATCTTGTTTATGTTGAAAGCATGGAGTTAAAACTTGCAAGTTCTTCTAGATCTTAATAATAAGCATGCACCTTAGTGATTCGATTTTCATGTTATTTGTCCAAATACTCATGAATCTGGTGTTAAACATGATTATGGCTACAAAGATTAAACCTGCTCTTGTTGAGACTTTACAAGATAATGAACCTTGCAGAATCATTCATGGAACTACCGGAGACTGATCAAGTAGTTTGTCAATATGTTTTCTATTGGGTTACATAAACAATGGGAAAAAAGTAGAGCTTATTATGCACTATACATTCAGAAAACTACCAAGGATGCTCTTTGAACCAGTGGTGTCAAGTATAGTCATGCATACATATATTAATCAGAAAAGCTAACTTGACTAGATGAGGTCCAGAATTAGCCTTATACCATTTCAATCTTTGAGTATGTCTCCTATCCCATCACGCTTTACAATGATAAGCACATTACTAGTGGATCCCACCACACTGAGGCCACTCACCTTGGTGGCATCACAGTCTCCACTTAACCAGCTTCCTTTGGAAACCAAGGATTATGCAGGGCGATCGAACTCGGATCTCATGGACATAAGGTTAGCTAAAAATTTAACTGGATGAGGTCTAGAATTGCTTTTATTCCAGTTCGCCCTTCAAGTATATGTAAATATAAGGTCATTCCTTCGTCAATCTAATGAAGAAAGGAGAGCAGCTGGAAGACTGACAACACAAAAAAACTAAAGAGATTCAATCCAAAGAAGTGTGATTCCCGGAGAAGAACTTTATTGCTTCTTTTTATCCTTTCCTCACTTCACACACTGTCACCCATTACATTCGACATTAATACATGCTGCCTGGGAATTGAGTGATACGTGCTATGGCAGGTAGGCAATTTGTAGCTATAGATAGGAGCTACCACTATCAGTTGGCCAGCTATGACATGTATAAGGCGTCTGAGAAACGTAAGTCCAAAGTCACCATTTCGGAATGGATTTAGATTTCCTGGCTTTTGATTCTTGCTGTTCCGCTAGGAACATACGTTTTCCTGTCTGGCCAACGTTTGGTAACATGCGGTCCTTTCTCAAAGCTTTCAGGTCCAAGAACCCTGACTCTTTCATCCACGACTTAGCGAAAACGTCTCTCTTTCCCTTCCTATGACTGATATAATGCTGTATATCTGCTCTTTTGCATTGAACAAATGAAACAGAAAGCGTGGAATTGCATAATGTAATGCTTGTTGGCATGCAATTTCTGAAAACAACACTGTCTTTGCTTTGCTTTTTATTATATATTTCACCTTTGTTGAGAAGTTAAATTTTATTGTTTTGTACACAATTTGGCACCCTTTTTTCATTGGAGATTGCTTACAGGTATGGCCGACCTGGTATGTACAAGACCAACTTGTTTGGGAGTCCAAGCATCACTGTTTCCATTCCGGAACCCTGTTGGAAAGCCTTGGAAAGATGATGAACCATTTGGACATATATAAAAGGTGTTTTCTTTCTATCCTTCTTTTCATATTTTTCTATCAAGTCATTTCCAAGGTGTTCTGGATGAGAGGAGAGCCAAGAGCCAAATGAATGACCAAAATGAAAAGATAGGAATGGTTGATCTACCCATGGAAGTTGAAGATGAGGATGGCCAGAAGTTGCAGGATGAGGATTGAATCCATTTTTCTGGTCGTCTCGTAGTTAGCTGGTGATGAAACCTCAGCCCATGCAGCTATGTGGGCAATCATCTATCTGCATGTAGACCACCCAGAAATGTTGGAAAAGGCTAAGGTGGAATTATAGCAAACTAATCACCCTGAAGCAAAACAAGAAGAGAAATGAACAAGGCTCTTATGGTGGTAAGGAATAGATGCTCATGTTAGTAACAGTATGTAAGCAGGCCATGAGGTGGGATTTTGTGTGCATCAGAGTAAAGCTCAGTAGATGGGTCTGCAATCTGCATCTCATCTTAAAGTGAGCATTAAAAAAAAACAAGCAAAGATAATTCAGTATAAAAATGACATAAATATTTCGTACTTTTTATATAATTTATATTTTTTAAAAAATTTGATTATAAGTAATTTTTATTTGTTTATGCGACAATTATTAAATTTCACAGAATTTCATTTTTTTATAATTTGTATTTTTTTTAAAATTTTGATCATAAATCTCAACTTAAAATGAGCATAAACAAAGCAAATAAAAAATTTGATTATAAAATCTCACCTTCAAATGAACATAAAAAAAGAAAGAAAGAAAGAATATTTAGTAAAAAAATCACAATTTTTATTTCATTTTTTATATAATTTATATTTTTTAAAATTTGATTATAAGTAATTTTATTTGTATATGGGACAATTTTTAAATTTTACATAATTTCATATTTTTATATAAATTATATTTTTTAAAAATTGATTTTAAGTAATTTTTATTTGAATATGAGACAATTATTAAATTTCACATAATTTCATATTTTTTATAGAATTTATATATTTTGAATTTTGACTATAAAATCTCATATTAAAATGAGCATAAACAAAGCAAAGAAAAAATTTGAATTTAAAATCTGGTTAAAAAGCAAAGAAAATTCAGTTAAACAAAATCTCATTAAAAAGCAAAGAAAATTCATTTAAACTGAGCATAAAAAAAAATTCAGTTAAAAAAAGCAAAAACAGTCGGACCTGGTTAGTTGGCCCTACCCGGCCCAACCGCTTATAATATTGAAGTACTGGAATACTCCACACCATTTCATGTCTAAGGGTAGAGGTCAGGCCTTGACTTTTTATTATATAAAGCATTCAATAGACACTTATGTGAGTAATGTGGGATATTGCTGCCCTACACGCCCCTGTATCACACCCATGATTGGGAATGCCCTTTAAGCTACGATTGGGTTGGCTCAGTGTTGGATAGAATGTTCCCATGCATGACGAAATGGAACGATGCTAATTATGATGAAATGAAGTGGGGATCCTTGAGATATTCATCCCAGAATTAGCACACTTCCCAGACTCCTGCTGCAGCACATCATCCCTCTTACAATAAGAGTTTGGTTCAGTGCTTGTACGTCTTCAAGCTCTCAACTCTGTGAGAGTTGCCTCCATCTTCTTCAAAACTAGTATATCATCTTCATCTCCCATGTATCAGGCAAGGGAAATGTTGCTGGTTAAGATCCTTCAAGGTGTTCTGGAAGTGAGAGGAGAACCGAGAGTCAAATTTAATGACCCAAATGAAAATAGAGGGAGCGGTTGATCTACTCATGGAAGTTGAAGAAGAGGAAGGCCAGAAGTTGGAGGATGAGGATATAATCGATTTTACTGCTCGTGCTGTTGTTATCTGGTCATGAAGCCTCACCCCATGCAGCTTTGTGGGCAATCATCTATCTACATGATGACCATCCACAAATGTTGCAAAAGGCTAAGGAGGGATTGTAGCCTTAATCGCCACTTTTCAGGAAGAGCAAGAGGAAATCTTAAGAAAAGACCTAGTACACAGAAAGGCTTAAACTCTTAGATGGTTTATCTTCGAAAGGTAATGTGTGCTTCCTTCCTAACTTGTTTACCTCGCAAGAACATGTCATTTACCTCAAATCTGAAGATTTACAATGAGTGATGAAATGATAGTTTTAGTGATTCTTAGTGATTCAATCTCCCTTTATTTCCAAGTCGATATTCTTCTTTCCCATGCTTGGTTTCGCTGAGTGAACTGAAAAGAATTGGTTCCATGTTATCTGATACCCAAAGGTTGGAAGGTTCTGGTTTGGAACAGGGTTGTTCACATGGACCCTGAGGCCTGAAGTTTATTCAAACCCAAAAAGGCTTCCTCCCTGAAAGATGGGAGGTAAGTTCAATGTATTGCGTGGCTGAAACATTGGCAAATGGTATCTAAGAAGCTATTGCTTTACTTGCATGCAGAACCATAAACCCAAAGCAGGATCATTCCTCCCCTTTGGAGCAGGAAAGAGGATCGTATGGCCAAGTTTGAGATCTCCATTTTCCAGCATTAATTCAAACCAACTATTGGGTACTAATCAAACCTAGGAAAGGTTCATTGGGTAAAGTTAGAGAAATTCTCTATTAAAATGGATTAAATGAAAACTAAAATTGAAAATCGAAACCAATAGAGTTTCGCAGATACTGTCATTTTCTTGTCTGTGTTGTTTCTGCTCTTGAAATTTAATAAACATAAGTACAATGTCATTGTCTGACTGCATAAAGAACAAGGAAAAAAATCTTGTGAAAGTGACAAACTCACAAAAGAACATGCTAAGATCATCCGTGAAGGTTCCAAGAAAATGAGTATTACTTAAAAGAAGAAATGAGTAGGGAGGGTGGGTACTAATAGGGTTCACTAAACTGCAGCCAAAAGCCAAAATGTGACATGAGATGATATGGCAAGGAGGAACCATGAGATAAAGGCCAAAAATATGGATGCTTGGAACCGGCTGCATGGAATATGAGGTGACCTGCAGTAACCCAAGTCTCTTGAATACAGAACTGTCACTCCAGCAGATGAGCAAGCAGCTGCAAGAGATAATATAGCAGTCACCTGCATTTTACATCAGCATCATTACTCCAGTTAGATTATTAATGAGTAAACAACAATTCTAGGCAAAAGTCATAATTTAGATCAACAAAGGAATCGATATCTGAAACATGTTAGTGGTTCCCATGGAAGGACATCATCACTTTTTCACTAGTTTTTTACTATTAGTTTTCATATTTCAATCAGCCTTTGTGGAATCAAGAAATTGAAATTTTTTTTTTTTTTGAAAGATGAGTTTTTATTAATGATAAGCTGGAATGCCGTGGGAAGTCTTCAACGTTGAGATTTGGAGACTCCTGTTGGCATGGAAGCTATCATGAGAAGAGCCTGTTCTGAACAATTACAAAAAGAGCAGCTGCTCAAGGAGCACTTGGCACTTGGCAAGAAATTGAAATATTTAATCTGAACAGACATGAATGCATAGTCTTAGGGAAACAAATCCAATAAAATAACGAAGTAATTATCCTTCAAAGTGTTTGTGTGTGACAGCAAATTAATTCCATGAAGGAACAAATTTTGAAAGAGAAACTTTAATTACCCAATCACCAACAACAAACAGGCTCACTAAGATAGGATTCTGGAGGTTTCTCTTTGACCTCAGAGCATGAAGATCAAGGCATGCTAGTCCAAAACTCCACAGAAATTGAAGCCCCATTGATGCTATCAAATAGCTGAAGCCAACAAAGATGTACACAAGAAGAAATGGTGACTTGTCAGAAATTTTTACAGCAAAAACCTAAAGGAGTAAAAGGGGATTAATACCATGTATAAAATAAGCAGAGAGACCAGAAACAGTATGAAAGACATAAACAGCAACTTTACAAAACATGCCATTTCCAACACACTTTGCTAACACCTAGTGTTGCTGAAGCATTCTGATACCAAAGACTGAGAAAAAAATTTTCAGGTTTGAACAAAGAACAATCCATGCACTACAAATCAAGTTGACCTTTCAGGAGTTACCTAATTATGTAAGAGCAGGCCATCGAGGGCACAGTGGGTTCTTCATCTGATTTGATTATGCTTTGTCTATTGGGAGCCACTGCAATTAGTCATTGCCACTATCACATCACACAAAAGGTAGTGGGAGTACTTAGTGCTTTATCTCACCAAAAATGGGATAGTAGGAATATATGTAAGACTAAGTCTCCTAAAATGTGGGACACATCTCCGGAAGAGGAGGAAAGAAAAATGAGGGCATGATGTGATCTTAATTGTTTCTTCTAAAGCATTTACCTTTTATTCTCTTTGATTTTTCCAAATCCCAGAACCTCATATTTCTCTAACCAATTATGCTGATGACTGTTACTAACTTTGGGCAATATCACCCCACTTTTTGTTTTTGCTTGAACAAGTAACAGTAACTTCTGAAGGTTTCCTGTCAGAATTGCATTGATCTTACAGCCGTTAACGCCATAATTTATTACTCTTACTTGTTTCTCTTCCCTTGAGAGGGCTTTTGCAAGACAATTTGAGTGTATAATTGTCAAACTTTATTAACTGTTTCCCATTTTCCTTTCTCATTGGTTTATGTGGATTGAAAGGTACAATGTACACCATTATCATCTTTTTCATTGGGGACATTCTTATGAATTTCTGACCCATCTACTGACAACCTCGTATAAGAATTCCCATTTTATGATGAATTCCTTCATAAATAAAGAACTACTTAAACATTCGAAAGGCCAAGTATTAACCAACCAAGGAGGAAAATAGAGAAAAGTACTAACCAACCAAGGAAAGCTAAGAAATGAAGGCAATTAAATGCTTCAGAAAGAAGTAGTTTAACAGTTTAACATACAAAGCAGGTTATAAGAATCATATAAAGACCACAATCAACCCATCATGTTAAAGTAAGCAAGGACATAAGCAAATAAGAGAAAAGAGGAAAGTAATAAAGAATGAGGATAGAACCAGAAAACAAAAAAGAATTAGAAATAATACCAGAACGCAGTGGAGTTAAAAAAACCAGGAGCAGAAACCATGACTCCAATTGAAGCAGCAGCAAAAGAACACTGTCCCACTCTCAGTAGCAGTCCACTCAACTTTCCTGGACTTCCAAACAAGGCCATAATCTCTTAAAACAACATTACAGGATTCTCAAGGAAGGAAAAAAATGAAGAGAAGGTCAGGGTAGGGGAAAGGGAGGGAAGAGATGGGAGTGTCCAAGAGCTTTAGCTTACAAGAAAGCAAAGTTGAAGAAGCTTAACTAACTTTTAAGATTTTTTTGCAGATATGGGGATGGAATTCAAGAATCTGTTGACTCCCATACGGAAAGCTCTTTTCCAGGAAAGTGGCATTGAGTTTTCATGTTGGACAGCTACACCAGCTTGACCTTTTGCTGTTACTCTTTATCGTTTTAAAGGATTAAAGTAGGATTTTTCTTTTAATTTTTTAATGGTATTTGGTAAAGTAGGATTCATTTCTTTTTCTTTTTCAGTGTAGCAAAAGTAAAGATGTCTTGCTTGTCCAGACCTTAACAGTGGAAGCTTGTGAACTAAGTTGAAAGTTTCAAGTTACACAAATTTGTAAAGCTAATTTATACAACTTGGATTGAACTTGTCTGTAAGTTAACACAAGTAGCAGGTAATCAAATAAGAGTCGAAGAAACCTGAAAAACAGGAAGAGAACAATTGACCAATGACAGTAACCATAATGTTTTTGGGTTATCTGTTAATCTCAGGATGAGTTGAGACATCTTTCCTGAGCCCAAATCTGATGACTTCATAGAACATTCATTGGAGGTACATTCCTGGTATTTTGAAGGGTTTCTGATCCGTTTTGCTTTCAGGATTTTCCTGTGATGAGGTTAGATTTTGACATCTCCACGTAATTTTTTCAAGTTTTTTTCCTTTAGAGCATGTGGAAATTGAAAAAGTGAGCAAACTAAGTGGCAATTTGATGAGCAAGTGACACTATTATGGACAATGGTTTTGGTATAATCCTGCAATAGAAAACAAGAAAACGTTTATTTGCGGTGTGCGACTAGCAGTCATGGTACAACAGATTTAGGCATACAGCAAGTTCTGATAAAATGAAAACTCTCTCTAATCATCATGGTACCAAGTATTGGCACCTATTATTTTTCTTTACATCGATGACACAGTCTCTCATACATGCAAACTCCTAATAGCATTCATAGCTGAGGAATGCTGAGTATACTTTTCCTCGACAAAAGCTTCGAGAATGGTGTTCTTCTCCTGAACATCTTTGAATTCGATTCTCCTACCATGACCTGTAAATAGATGTGAAACTTTTGAGATTGATCTTCACGAATAGCATATATATGAAAACAATGAAGACACTCAATCCAACTTCTGTCGTTCAAGACAGATGTAAAACAAACAGTAGGTTCTACTTCCTGGTTAATTTAACCCATCTTTCTTGAACAATTAACTTGCATGTGCAAAATGCTGCAGACGGTTGGATATAAGAACAAAGAAATGGACAAAGGACATATGTTCATGTTTCGGAAGTGTAGTTCAACAAAGGACATAACAAGAGACAAGCTAGGACAAAATGGTTTCAACCAATAACATGTGCAGAAGGCTTTTCTTCAGAAGCATGCAAGTTGGATAAGCACCACCAAAGAAACCAGCACCACACATCTAAGTTCATGAATATTTAGTTCATACAATTTGCACATGTAGAAGAAAACTGATACCAACCTGGTATTATCCAATTGAACTCCAACTCCAACAACTTTTCAACGCTATTCAGCTGTGTAGGAACTGCGAAAAACAAGAGAGTAGTGAGCATAGGAAAAAAGATGAAGAAAAAGCTCAAATGATGAAATAAGAATCAAATAACTGTTATAAAGATAGGCACTATAAACCTATCCATCTCGATGATGATTTCGAGTATAAGACAAGAGAACATTCAGGTAGCATACTATGCAGACCACTGGCTTTTCTCTAGGGACTTTTAGAACATTCATTAACTATGTTTACAGCCAATGAGAATGGGCAAAATTGTATGAAATGCACCCATACTTATCAAACATTGCCATGTAATAGTGATTTCATTTAGTTTTACCTGAACATTTATTGTATATCTCCATTATGTCCAACCCAGATTCTCTCATCAGTAGATGGTCACCAGTGAATAGAACCTTAACTGACTTATAAAGCAAGCAGACCGATCCCTGTAACAATTTATAAAATGTACAATTATGAGCTTTGGTCAGTGCATCGATGTCAAACTGTTTGAGAAATTTCTAAGATATCCAATGTTAAATTTATGAAACTTAATACTTGAAGCTCATTATTGACAACTAAAGTAACAAAGAGTGACTATTCATATAAATCTGACATAAGGCAAAGTCAACCTAGAACTCAGGGAAGTATTTGTCAAGCCATAGGAAATCCATATTTGCGTAAGATATCTAATTTTCAACACTTTTCGTATACATTAGATTAATAACTCACTTCTGTGTGGCCTGGAGTGTGTATAAGCATAATGTCTTCCCCAAGGCTCCATGGACCGGTGCCCTCTAGCTTAATCTCGACATCAGTGGTACAAACTTCGACCTACAGAGATCACCATTACAAATAGTAAGTTAGCTGTAAATTCACATTTACTGTTCAACTAGTACTCAACATAAAAAGGCTGCAACATCCATTCATGGCCCTTACTTGCCCATAGATAGTGATGAAGGTGACAGAAGTCAAATGAAAAGCTATTTTTTTAGCTATCAGTAAACTCAATTGAACTCTCATACTATATTTCTATGGCAGAGAGCACTCTAGCATTAAAAATAGAAACTTAACATCCCTGATTAATAAATCAGAAGTAGTATATTGTACGAGTTAAGAACATCAAAGGCACTAAAGCAAGTATGATAACATTTCTGCCAAACAGAATTTTCAAAAATCTGTAAATAATTGAAAGAGCATATCAGAGATGAGGACATGACGCTTACATCTTGAGAATGCAGAATCCGATCACAACTAAACCGCTTTGACCACTTCCCATGATCTGCAACGTCATCCCTGACCATAACAACATCTATTAGGCATCAGCAACCTCTAGAAGAACAAAAGATAAAAAAAAATTTGTCATCATACTTGTGGGTTAAAAACATATAGCGTACTCCACCCAGCATCTCGATCTTCTGTGCAAGTCTCTCTGTGAATTTAGGGCTGCAGAAATATATACAGCCAAGTTAGTCCAACCTAATGTGTGAAGCGATCATGGGGAAGAAAAAGATCTAGAAGCAGTCTTATTTCCAATTTTTTCCCCAAAAATGACAGATTCCCCCACCATGACAGTTCACAGCAGAGTTTTTAGAAACTTCTACGCAGCAAAAGTATAATATTACCTATCTATAAGTATATTTCCTTCAGGATGAATGATCAAATAGGAAGCAGCTCCATATGATTTCTCAGAATGATACCCACAGTGATAAACACCCTGAAAGTATATTATATCACATAGCCACAGTGATAAAGTAGGCTTGCTATTCCAAGTACACATAATAACACTGCAGTCTGTCAAATGATACTGTAAAATGAAAAATACAGTTAGGAATGATAAAGATTACCGGAAGCTTCTTCTCATCTATTGGAATTGGAAATGTCTTCTGAGCTTCTAGGATATCAGAAGGAGGTACTTCTGTACGGATTGAGCTTGTTGGACAGGAAAGCAAGGCCTGAAAACATCAAAAGTTCAATGATGACAATCATTACACCCGTATAGATACAAATAGACAGGCAAGTGCATGTGTGAAAGTCTGTAGAGATGCATAGAGAAACAAATCATGCTCTTTGATGTAGGTGGAGAAAGTAGAAAACATCATCTTCTAACTGATAAACTAGAAAGGAAACCAGTGAAAGGGCACCTGGAGAGCATTTAATCGGTCTTCCTTGCAAGTTGGCTGTTTAAAAACTGCAGACATCCCGTCAACTCGTTTGAAGACTTGCTGAAAAGCCAAGAGAGAAAGAGCCTTGGAGTGAGAATAGTTTTCAAGATTGTCAAGTAAGTATCTACGGCATAGTCTAAACTTGGAAAGATTTAATTAAAAAGAAATAAAACAAAATATAAAGAACTACAAATTACATTGCAGGGTTGAATGATATGATTATATTATACATGAAGTAATATGCTGAAAAAGGGTACAAACTTTTGCAAATCAGTAGCAAGGCATCCATAATGCCCACCATCATTCTCAGTCTTTGAATACCATTTTTCACCTTTCAAACAAGATTAGTTACTCATGAGGACACCATTTGCCAACTATTACAAGGTGCTGCAACTTATTTCGCCAACATCTAGAACCCAGTAAGACAGGTAACATGGAAAATGGAAATTCCCAGATATTATTATCTATTGACAAGTGAACCACAATTCGGCTAGGAATCAGAATAATACAGCATGCTTTATAACAGAAATCAATGCAGAGAGGAAGTAAAGTAGTAGGAACCATAATTTATGTTACTTGGTTTTGTTTTCCTAGCATCATTTGCACAAAACCATCCCTACATAACATAATGTTTAATACAACAGTAAGCTCGAAAGATTACCGGAGCCATCCAGCGGCAAGCATCACAATCTATGCATGTATGATCTGCAAAATGGATTAAGAAGCCATACCAAAATTAGCAGAGATAGCAGTGCATATACCATGAGAAAATATCCTATCCAGCATACTTAAAACATGGAAAAGAATGTACTTTTCCGATAATATTTGCATAGCTAGAAAAGGAAACTCCTATACTTTAAAAAGTTACCATCCTTCATGGCAAAAAATTTACAGCCCTTCCATCACTGAACTTATCTGATAAAGAAAAAGCTCCCCAAAAGAAAAGTATGGTATATAATTTATTACCATATGGGTAAAAACTGATATTTACCTACAAAAAAGTCTCCATCTACGTTCTGGGGTCGTCTCTGTCTGGCCCATCTTCCAGTACCTGATTCAACCGGGCTTTGAACTGCTTTCACTGATGGGAATCTTGACACCCTCAACTTCTTTTGAACACTGGTTGATGATGATGACTTCTTCAGCCTATCAACAGAAGAAGGAAAAACTGGGCCAACACTTGCAAGATTGATAGCTTTGTTTGCCATAGCCATACTCCTTTTTCTCTCTTTCTTCTCCACCAAGAAGACAAGGAAGAAAGGGTGAGGATATATACAAGTGAAGAGGCAGCCATGACTTGGTTTAGTGAGATAGTATTTGGTTTTGCTGATGCTGACTTGCCAAAGCTCAAGATTGAATCGTGTTGGAAAATTTGTATAATTTAATAAGTTGATAAAGTTTGACTGAAGAGAGTAATTTGGTTAGCAGTGATGTCATAACTTTCTTTTTTGGGAAATAAAAGCTATAGACAATATATTAGTAACATTATAAATTTGACCAATTATAGACAGTAGCTTGGTAAGGAGTGATATCACAACTTAATTATTAAAAATTTTGATTTCAATTGCTAATTTCTTTTATAAAATAAAACAAATGTCAAATGATAAAGGATAAAAAAGAATATTTGGTTCAAGCAATCAATTGAAATTTGATATTTATAAATTTTTTTTATCATTAAATTTTTTTATATATTTTAAATTTAATTTTGATTAAATCTAAACGATAATCGAGATAAGAGTCTTGATGAATTTCTCTTTAAAAATAAGAATCGAACATGAAGAGAAATGGAAAAAGAAAAGGGATGAATCGAAATGATAAAACGAAATATGTCAAGGGAATCATGACAACAAAATCATGCTATCACTTAGAATATCTTGTTGCGTTTTTAAGTTGTTCGTTAAAGATTCTACTAGTTGCTCAATAAGAATTAGGCTTCAAAGGATCCGATTCTAGCCAATTTAAGTAATTTTTAGGCCCTAAATGGGTCCAATTGAAGCCCAATGTAGGCCCAATAACAGGTCCAATGTAGACCAAATCAGGCCCAATCCAGCTGACTTGCCTTTGAACACCTCTTTTCAAAGCCTTAGTACTATTAATCTTTAGCTTTACAAAACCTTAAACCCTCGCAACAAAGAATCTCGCTGTTCCTAAAACCCTAAAAACCTCTTTCGTGTTTCAGCGCAGTTTCCATGGCTCTCGCTTCTATAGTCCGCAAATCAGCCAACTCGTTGGTTCCAGTCGCTATTCGACTCACCCGAGTCCAGAGGAACTATCACTCTTGTGTTTTCACAGCCTTGAACCACAGCTTCCAGTCCCAGAAGCCCGGCGTAAACCGTTTTTGCCCAAATATACTTCATTTCTCAACCGCTGTCGATTCTAAGAAAACCTCCTGTGATGAGTCTCTTCTCCGAGTTCTTGAGTCCGAGATACAGTGCGCTGAGGAGAGTGATGAGCATGACCAGGTGAGTCAATCTTTTGTTCTAATCATATCTTTTCCATTTAGGGTTTATGGGAAGCTAAGGGGACTGTATGAATGTTTGAGTGTGGTGGGTTTTGAATGTTTTCTTTGTATTGAGAGAAGATGTGGAAAAAATTTACATGGGCAATTTTATAGTAGTATTGATACTCTGTTTTTAAGCTGAATGTATTAATTTTCTTTTCATTTTGTACTTAATTTTGTTTGGTTTTCCTTCCTATATTATGTTTATGAAGGTTGAAGGAACTCCTAGTGGATTCCCTTTCAAAATTGAAGACACTCCTGGACTTCAAACTGTAACATTGACAAGAGAGTATGATGGTGAAGTCATAAAGGTTGAAGTTCACATGCCTGATCTTGTGACTGGTGATGAACAAGAGGAGGATGAAGACAACGATGAGGGTGACTATGAAAAGCCTTCTAAATCAAGTATCCCATTGGCTGTTACTGTCTCAAAGAAAGGTGGTCCTAGTTTGGAGTTCAATTGTACTGCTTTCCCTGATGAGGTTGCCATAGACAGTTTGACTGTTAGAAATCCTGACTCCGAAGATGTACTTGCCTATGAAGGCCCTGATTTCCAGTAAGTTTTTTGTAGTTCATGTGTAGATGCATTGGATATATAGGACAAAATGGGATTTTTGTTTTTGCCTCTGCTTTAACTGATATTTGGTTTCTTGGTTTTCAGTGATTTGGATGAGAACTTGCAAAAGGCTTTCCACAAGTATTTGGAGATCAGAGGAATTAAGCCGAGCACTACCAATTTCTTGCATGAGTACATGATCAACAAGGATGGTCGAGAGTACCTTAGGTGGTTGAAGAACCTGAAGAAGTTCATTGAAGAATGAAGGAGTTATAGCTTCTCACAATAGTTTATGAAGAAGGGTATGCCCTGGTGTATTCTCCTCTGGGTAAAAAGCTAGCATTGTTGCAAGTTATTCTATGAACTAAATAACATAAGCACATTTTTGTTTAGGTGAAAAGTTTGTGAAATTGTTGAAGTTTGTTGGAACATGCTTGGAATTATGTTCAGCTCATATATTGCTCTATTTGAAGAGTATTTTGTCTCACTCTTGTGTAAACTATTCTACAACTCTTTAAGCCTTGCTGGAATTGGAAACTAGTATGCAAGAATGCTAGTGTTGTTACTTCCTTAGATGAATGGTGATAATACTTTGAATGCCACCTTGTTATCTGCCAGCAAACCATGAAAGAGAGAGAATAAGGTGCTCTGCTCTTATCCCTTTATTCTTTGAGGGATTAGCCACTTTTTCTTCTCTTAAAACTATTCATTTCATTGAATATGATGAAATGCTTTAGCACACTCCATGTTGTCAAAAGGCTCAAGTCACCATTCAAAATTGATACAAAGTTGGGATCCACTAGATAAGTTTGGGCCTTTTGGATGTGAATGGATACAAAGTGGGAGCATCAAACTCTCTCAACTTTTGCTACCATTGCCCAAAAATGGAATTCCCCCTATACACAATTTGCTTTCTTGTCATCAAGGAAAATGACTACAAGGAATTTGAGTGTTGGGAATTGTAGGACTAAGTTCGCCTTTTGGGACAAATTCTAGAAAATGAATATATAATCACCCACATTGGAATTTTGAAAATTTTGAACTATAAATTATGTATTTGTAAAACTCTGATACTAATGAGAAAGACATCTTTTCAATTTCCCAAATATATAGTGCAATAAAACAATTGGTTGGAATTGGTGGGAATTTTAGTACTTGAGCAGAATCCCTGAATTCAAATTACATCAGAATACTAGTACTTTTTTTTTACTCCAGTTTGGGTACCCCACAACCAAACTACTCTCAGTTTCTCTTTATCACCCTCAAAAGAAATAACTTAATTGCTATTTATTCCTAAAGAACATAAGAATAGACCATGACTAGAATTTCATAATACTACAAAGGGTATAATAACACCCTGACCAAAGACTCCTATCCAACACCAATCCTTCCCCATCAAAACTAAAAGGATAATAAGACAGAAATGACAAAGAGGAAACCCATCAGCAGCTTCAGGCATTTCGCCTTTGCATTTTTAAGAATCAACAGGTATGTCTTTGTGAACATAAGTGACCCCTTTATCACCATCCACCACCTGTCCGCTTCCTTTGAGAATCCTGTATTTATGAAAAGGGGGAATTATAATAATGTGAAATAACCTTAAAATATAAACCACTTCAATTCTTAGCATGTCAAATATTAATTTCATTGGTCAAAAGACAACCATGTAATTTATATGGCAGAAGTTCTTCAGAATATTTGTTCAAAATTTTTTTGTAATCTTGCAATAATATCCTCAACATTAAGATCAACAGAATTTATGTTATCAAAAAGGATGCCCTATGTGTAACAGATATGTATAACTGCATGTATATGGAATGTGAAATATGTAATAGATAAATGATCTTAATAGATCCATACCATCTTGTTGTTAACAACCCTTCAACTCCAACAGGACCCCGAGCATGAATCCTACTTGTACTTATCCCAACCTATTCAGTCATTGAAGAAAATCAGACACTAAACCAATGTACTTGATATATTAAATAGATGCTGAACAGTAACTGAAATATGATACCTCAGCTCCTAGCCCGAATCGAGCCCCATCACAAAATCTTGTGCTTGCATTGTGGAAAACAGCAGCACTGCCCATGTAAATACAGGACACATTATATGATGTTCCACAAGTAAAGAAGCCAATGATTTCACACCAAGTTCAAAGTAATTTTTTGCATGCAAAATCAAAGTATTACCCATTGCATTTACTTATTTTAGATGTAACAAGTACAATGAGAGAACAGCAAGTCATCAAGAAATAAAGTAACAGAAGAAGCATACAAGCTTGTACCTGTCAGAAACTAGATAATTGAAGTCTTACCTGTCAACTTGATGCAGGAAGATTTCTGCAATTTCCCGGTCCTCTGTGATGATACAATCTGTGTGTGCACTGCAGAAAAATGAAAAAAAGGTAATCCATGTCCATCCACACATGCAAAGTGCAAACATAGGCATATATCCACACAAAATAATGCACACGAAGAGACATCAACAAGCTTCTCTGCCAAGAGTGAGTAACATGCCTTCCATGATGATGGATATGATCGATGGCTGCACCCACATCATCCACTATTTCAACAGTGCAGGCCATTGAATTGTATTCATGATGAAATGAACGTGCCTCTGGGATACTCAACAAGTTGCTTGCCCTTGGCCCACCGTATAAAATAACACCTGCAGAAGACGCATTATTGTTGGTTATCCATTAGGTATTCAAAATGTTGTGTTACAATCTATTCACTTTCTAATAAAACAATTAACCATGCACCAAACATGGATATTCTAAGTATCACATTTTGTAAGTGAAACCGTTTGCAATGTACCTTCCATACGAAGATCATTAATTAGGTCATTAAGTGCACCAGTCTGCACTAAATCCTTGTGTACAAGAAGGGTTTCCTGCCAAAAGGAAAAGAGAAGCATTAAAGAACTATGCAATGTGACAAACACAATGTGAACATATTCAAACAAAATATATAACGTCAACGAATAACATTGAAATTGTTACTAAACTTTATCTGGAAGAAATAAATTGACAAATGAATGATGAATTACCATTGCATTACAAGCAGCAGGATAATCTATTTTTGCATCCAAAACAATCTGCTTTGCCATATCCATATCAGCAGACTTATCAAGATATACATGGCAAATTCCATCTGAAACAAACAGTATAGTTCACTACATAAGAATCAGGCAACAGTATCTTTTCCTTCTAAAAATAAAATCACCACATCAGGCCAAGCATATGATGAATGGGTAAGACAATAGTAACCCATCTAACCTGCATGACCAAGAACTGGAATTTTGGTTGAACTCTTGATTTGAGAAACAAGTTTGTTGCTGCCTCTTGGGATCACAAGATCAATCACATCATCAAGCTGAAGCATAAATGTTAATGCTGAGTTACAAATCAAAGTGTACACCATTGTTGTAAAGTATATGTTCTAATGATTGGTCACTTTAAGAACTACTAACCTTCAAAAGATCAGGAATCTCCTCTCTTGTAGTCACAAGTCCAATAACTTTGCCACCAACAGTGTCTGGAATGGCTTCAGTTATTACCTGTGAATTCAAACAAGATGATAAAATTTCAGAAAACAAATCTAGACAAAGAAGCACATTTCAGTATAATCCAGAAAACTTGTTTTAGAATCCGAACCTTATGCAAAATAGCATTTGACCGCTTGGCCTCCTTTCCCCCTTTCAAGAGAAGCCCATTTCCACTTCGGATAGCTAACGAGGCTATCTATTCATACCATACATAAAGCCACAGGAATATTCAGAACAAGAAGCATATAAATTAACTAGGCACACAAGAAAATAGCTCTTCACTCCGCATCATAGCATGCAGTTAGCTTTTTGCTTTTTCCTCCCTTGGCCAAGCCAAATAAAAGGTTAACATACAAAGGGGTAGGAACAAACAGTCTACTTTAGGAATAAAATAATCTATTTATTCATTCACCTTATCTACACCATAGAGAAATAGTGGAAGGACTTTCAAATTGTAGTCCAATTTACCTGTACAAGTGCATCAGGTCGAGATTCAAAAACAATCAAAAGAACACCCAAAGGACTTGATGTTTTCTCCAAAATGAGTCCATCTGCAAGCTGAATGCAAAAACAATCATTGGATTGCAAAAAAGTTCGTCCAATTCTGTTAATAACAGCTCTGGCCAAAACCAAACGTGCTTTTGGTCTCTAATAAAATCCCCCCACCCCCAAAAAGAAGGGGACCTTTCTGGCCTGCTTCTGTAAAGGTTTAGAAATTGAACAACTACTTTTCAAACAGAATGAGCCTTCAGTTAGTCCACACCTCAGTGTATGACTACCTCTTTATTACCTGGGTTTTCTTCAAAACACGGCCAATTGGGTCTTCCATGTTAGCAAGCACACGAACAGACTTTGCAAGGCTAGAAATCTGTCAAGTACACAGAGTAAATTCAACAGCGCAAAAGAAACTCATAACTGCAAATTAATCTAGGAAGGGGCAAGGTCCAACAGATTTTGGTGCACAAAGGTTGCATCTGCTTTTGGTATTCGAAAAGATGGTCAAAGCTGAGAGGTAATAAACAGCAACCGTAATGCAATTCCAGTTGCAAACATGGACGAACTAGATTTAGCATTTTACCTTCCCAGGCTTCAGAGCTAGCCGGGATATCAAGGATTTCTCATATCCAGCCTGTTGTGCAGCAGTAACATCGGCTTCATTCTCGATAGTGATCACCTTTTCATTTGCTTCGAGTGCATCAGCTATGTCTAGTAAAATCTTTTTCCGTTCTTGTGAAGACAATGCCTGAAGAACAATTGCCGTTAAGTTTTTTATGCCACTAGTCAAGAAGGTACAGCTGACTGTCAACATGTGAAGTTGGCAGTTGGAACCAAATGTCATAACAAAATAAACACACAAAATATTTGGAGCCACAAAGCGATGCAGTATTACCTGAAGTCTTCTGGAACTTTCTCTTGCTGCAACTGCCATTTCATGAGCTCCATCTTCTTTAATTGGTTCCCACAAATGTGCATTTTGATCAAAGAGTGTACCAATTCGTTTTCCTTGGAGGACTTTTAGTATGTTCTCAGCTGCATACCCACTTTATAAGAAACAAAAGAGACATTACTGACAATTAGACACAAGGCAAATGGCTGACACCAGCATGGCAGCATCACATATGAAGGCAGCAACTTTTTTTTAAAAGCAAAATCTACAGGCTCCAGACAAATACGTTTTCATTCTTGTTCCTTGAGTTGCAATTTATAGAACAATGTGTAAGGGTTCTTAGAAAGAGTAAAAAGCTGGAATGAGGCAGGAAGGGCTAAATTGCTGGAATTTTCCTACCCCTTGATGAACTTACCAGCAGGAAACTGGCCAGTAGGTTCATTCCATTTTAAATGATCGTAATCCTAGCAACAACAGCATTCTATCATTTTAGTTGACCCTATTTATTAAATTTAACATGTTTCAAGATACAGTCAAACATTGCAGAGTGCTAAAGCTAGAATAAAGCATGAAACATACCTGGTAATAACAACAGGAATGCCAGCATCAGCTGCATTGACAGCAGCTTTTACTTTTG